ACACACACACACACACACATATATATATATATATATATATATATATATATATATATGTATATATAATATATATATATATATATACATATAATTATGGATACTTAATTATGGGTACTTTAAGTAATGATTACTAGAGTCGGCCACTTGTTCGAGCAGAACAGAAAATAATACGGATACACACACATTGACTTACTCGTCTCTGTGAGCTATCTATATAATACATTGTTTTACTCCCCCGTAGAATACCAGCCTTTTCCGCGACAATCAATTCGCCACACTGTCTAAGCCCAGGTCCTACGGTTAACTGTTTCGTCTCGACACTTGCGACTACATCACCCGGTATCACCACCTGTCCCACTAGTTTATTGCCCGTATGCGTTCTTTTTTCCTTTCTTCCTTTCTTCGTTTCTTTCCCTTCCCTTTTCTCTATTTGATCCGTGCTCACTTCACTGGACGGCATTATGTATGCTGTATCTCTAGTCTAATTGAATCGGTGGCTGGATATGTTCACCGTTATAGTACGCACCGTTAAATAAGTTAAAAAAGAATAATAATATTAAAAATTAAATTGTCTAAGTCTCGTTTAAACCACACAGTGACAGAGCGGCCACTGCCGCCAGCCAGATAAAATAAATACCGTCATGTGTAATATTAAATATATGTATGTGTATTCCATTTTGTTTTGGCGGCAATCCATATCTGTACTCTATACGGAATATAATGAAAATATAGAGAGAGTATAATAAAGGATATAGAATGATTGTTCATTTGGTGGGTGAATATACATTGCCTTGCCGGTGTGCTGTTGATAAATATGATGGGGGCTAATCGCGCCAAGTTGTCTGCATTACAGTCTTTAGTGCACCACTCCAAGTCATATAGGCTCACTGGTTGTAATCCAGAACATGTCTCCAAACTGCGCTCATCTACCTTTCGTCGCAGGAGCATTCGGACCTCCAACCTGTTCCTGTGCACACTCAAGGAGGCGCCTGCAGAAGCAGTATGGCCTGTGTATTGCTCATGATTCGTATTTTAGAATTCGCATGGCTTGTGTACTCTTTCATGTTAATCCATGTGCTCCATGAAACCAAGAGGCATCCATGTAAGCGGTATGGCTTTTGTTTGAAGGTATTATGGCTTGAGTACGCTTGCCTTGTATCTCACGTGTTCCTTGACCCTATTGGTATATCCGTACACGAGGGATGACCTCTGTACATGGGCGATAAGATCCTTGATTCTAGGAGGTAGCCCGTGTAAGTGGTATTACCTTTGTATGTGGTTTGAGTACGCTTGCTTGATGTCTCACAAGCTCCTTGATTTTAGGAGGTATACCTGTGCAAGTGATGTCACCTTTATATATGATCCGAGTACGCTTGCTTGATATCTCACAAGTTCCTTGTTACCAGAAAGTATATCCGTACAAGTGGTAGGGTCTTTTTGGGGTTGCGTTTGCTTGCTTGATATCTCATGTGCTCTTTGATACTAAGAGTATATGCATGTATCGGTATGATCTTTGCAGACGGCTTGAGTATGTTTACTTGATATTTCGAGTGCTTTTTGATGATAAATCGTACAATGGTATTTTATTGCTACTCACTACTCATACGTACTTACTGGCGTACCCCATCATTTTGGACATATTGAGCTGTTGGCGTTCATGAGAGGTTTTTGATTAACAAACCACAACCTTGGCTGGTTTGACATTGACGTGTGCGTGAGAAATTGTCGAATAGCGAACTACATTTAAGACTGATTTGGTGTTAACTTCCATATGGAGATTTCGATTAGCGAAGTGCATATAATACCGGTCTATTGTTCTCTTAAGTGCCATTGGCTCAAGCAACGCGTTATGATAAGGGTCTGTCTCGTACTCACGTATAGTGCGAATATCGATCTAGGCATTGCAAAGCTTTGGCAATACTTTATCCCAGCCGAGTTCGGGATCAAATTGCATCTTACCACGTGATTAATGTGATAAATTTTGCACCATTAACGATATGGCAGATATTTCTATAGCACTGGCTACATTGCAGTCGTATAATATCTTCCAGGGATTGTATTTTTAAACTCTTTATAGGTTCTGCTTTCAGACTGTGCAGATGTTTCTATATCAATGACTACATTGCAGTCATATGATACCTTCCATGGATGCTATTTTAAAACTCTTTTAGGTTCTGCTTTCAGACTGTGCAGGTGTTGCTATACCACTGACTACATTGCAGTCGTATAATACATTCCAGGGATTGTATTTTTAAAACTTTTTATACCTTCTGCTTTCAGACTGTGCAGGTGTTTCTATACTACTGACTACATTGCAGTCGCCTGATACCTTTTCAGAGAATATACTTTCTAAACTCTATATAGGTTCTGCTTCTAGACTGTGCAGGTGTTTCTATACCACTGACTACAGTGCAGTCGTATGATACTTTCCAGAGAATATACTTTCTAAACTCTATATAGGTTCTGCTTTTAGACTGTGCAGGTGTTTCTATACCACTTTCTATACCACTGAATACTTGCAGTCGTATAATACCTTCCAGGGATTGTATTTTTAGAACCTTTTATACCTTCTGCTTTCAGACTGAGCAGCTGTTTCTATATCACTGACTACACTGCAGTCGTATAATACCTTCCAGAGATTGTGTTTATAAAACTCTTTATAAGTTCTGCTTTCAGACTGTGCAGATGTTTTTAAACCACTGACTCCAGTGCAGTCGCATGATACCTTCCAGAGAATATACTTTCTAAACTCTATATAGGTTCTGCTTTTAGACTGTGCAGGTGTTTCTATACCACTGAATACATTGCAGTCGTATAATACCTTCCAGGGATTGTATTTTTAAAACTTTTTTATACGTTCTGCTTTCAGACTGTGCAGGTGTTTCTATACCCCTGACTACATTGCAGTTGTAAAAGACCTCCCAGGGATTATACATTTAAAGACTCCTTTATACATTCTGTTTTCAGATTGTTCAGATGTTGCTTTACCACTGACTCCCTTGCAGTCGTATATAAAATTCCCAGGGATTCAAAATCAAAAACTCTTTATACGTCCTGATTTCAGACTGTTGCGAGTCATCGACTACTCCTACGTGCCGGGTACATACGTCAGACTGCCGCAGGTATCTACGTTCTCCTACCCATGGCGCTGAGAGTTCTTGAAAAGGTAGTGGGCATGTCCAATTATACAGCATTAAAAGTACAATTTGTCATACATCGGTTTCCGTTTCTGCTGCACTGCTCGCCATCGCTCATTGGTGACAAGTCAGCGACACATTGTACGAGTTTCTTCAATGTCTAAGCGTATTTCAATACTATTCTTCACGATCAGATACAACGGGTAATTAGATACGAGCTGAATTTGGAGGGCTCGTCTGAGATTGCAATGCCCATGCTTCATCCAGCATCCTTGTGGAAGAAATCAGGTGTGCAAGTCACTATGGTAAGTTTTATTACGGCTTGTGATATTGATACTGCTGCGTTTACAACTGTAAATACAGTAGCATTATTTCTCTCGATGTGACGAATTTATCGTGAACCATTCATCTTCATGTATGCAAAGGTAGGTGGTCTGAGATGGGCCCCGAGCTGATGAGACTTACAGATAGGCGGGGTTCAGATTACTGCCTAGGGCCCACACACGAGGAAGTTATCACAAGCTTAGTTGCAGATGAGATACAGTCGTTCCGGAATCTCCCCGTCCGCCTATATCAGATAGACAGGAAATTCAGGGACGAAATTCGGTAAGTACAATTGCTGGTATACAATCAGTTGGTGCTGATATACACCTTCATTAAACGATTAATACTGTGTAGTCTTGTTCATACACCTCATCGCACGATGACGCCAAATGATCACCAATTGCATGCGTGTGCAGAATCTTTTCGTCTCAGCTTCAGGCTTGGGGCGGGCTTGTATTATTTGAGCTTCATACACATACCATTTTGTTTTTTCAGTCCTAGATTTGGGCTAATCAGGGCCCGGGAATTCTGGATGAAGGACCTGTACTCGTTTGACAAAACGTATGTATCTTTGCAGTGCGCTACCCAACAAAGAACTTTATTCAATATATGACAGCCAGAGTTATAACGATTCAACTTTCAGTCGAAGTGACTTAATCAAGTATCTCCTTATCTTCATCTAGACCTTCAGACGCAGTAGCTTGGTATAACGTGATGCTAAAGTCGTACAGCAATATTCTGAACCATCTTGGTCTCCGCCACGTACGTGCATTGGCAGATACAGGCGCCATCGGAGGTTCGCTATCGCACGAACTCCACGTGATCTCTGAGGTAGGTCCACAATCTGCTGGGTGAAATTTTGAGCTTATTGGCCAGGTTTCCGCTATTTGTGTGCCTTGTACAACTTTGATATCGATTGGGTTATTGGCTGTGTTGTATGGCCAATACATTCTACCAGATCATCAACTTTCGACTCTACATACAAATAATCTGGACCAGATTGGCGAAGACAACATCGTACACTGTAATGGCTGCGGCTACGCTGCCAACGATGAAAAAGCCGTAGGTAGACTTCGCTTGCCCGAAAGGTACGTCTGATAGAGTATTCAATGGTACAGCTTACGGTGCATCGCTATGCGTGATGAACGGTTATATATTAACTATATGTTGTGCCGGAAGAATATTTTTGACAGCGTAGCTTATTAGACAACACATTTTGAATCTCGCATGGATCTTCTTTGCCACTGACTGTTTGATGTGCATTGTCATTGTAGAACTGCGCTGCCAGATGCATCTAATCACTCGAATGCTGTAGGAGGCGTGAATAACCTGATTGGAAAGATACACGATGTTTTCGGCGATTCTAGGTAAGAAAGGTACACATATCACTTTAAGCGTGCTACGCAGAACCACTCATGTGCATCTCATCTGGGTTGATAAAACGATTTTTTTCGTACGTATACTAGGATACAGATAGTTGGTCTGAGGTTTAAGCGCTATCAAGCAGATACCACAAGCAAAGCCATCGCCGCTTCATCACCGATTGACCTGCAAGGGGTAGCCCTACTTCCAGAAGGCCGATCAATAAATACTATTAAGCTGCCTAAGCCTGAAGCACCCGACAGCCAAGCTGGAGAATGGGAAGCATGCAAAGTCGACAGCACTTTCACGATTGATGGTTTGAAGGTGTTCCTGGATCAAGATGCAGGGCTTTCCGAATTCTCAGTTCCTCAAGCTTGGGATGTCGCTGGAGGTCAATTTTGCTTGATTGAACAAGGCGATCATTGTCTCGACTGCTCAGGGTGTGTATCAATGACAGGTCGGTGATCGGTGGTGATTCGAACTGTCGAGGTTTTTTTTGGAGGGGATTCTCGATACTAACAACACACCTATATTTAACCAGTACCCTAAATGTAGATAAGGGCATTGAGGTTGGGCACGCCTTCTATTTGGGTACCAAATACTCCGAAAAGTTTGGATGCACATACAAGGATGAATACAACAAGAAGTCATATGTAGAAATGGGATGCTATGGACTTGGAGTCTCTCGGATTTTATCTGCCATGGTTAGTAAGTTGTTGCCCGGCTATTTCATTGCTTTGTATTTACATCAGCTATTTTAAATGCCATTCGTCTTTCACGATTTGTCATCAATCAAAGTCTATAGCAAATTCTGGCTTCGTTGACATTATGACATACTGCCAATTTTAACTTCAGATCGAAAATAATCACGACGCACGTGGGCTTCTCCTACCGGAGATAGTGGCTCCATATCTATGTTGCATTGTGCCCCTGGGCATCAACAAAGATCAAATCGCCCAGAAGCTTCTCGATGTTGCTGACGTGCTACATGCAAGGTATTAGTGTGATGCCGACTTCAATTCCTGTTAGATATATTAGAAGGGAGGACAAAATTAGAATGTATTGTAGCTCCGGAGCAAAACTCTCAAACTATACACGACGTTTCCTGCCACTTTATTCTGGTACAGAAAACTTTGATTTGTATCTGCTAATCGAACTTGGTACTTTCATCCCACACCAAATATTTCAACATTTATGACTATTACTGGTGGATAGGCTGTCTGATGCTGTGCCGAATCTGGATCAGGAATTGGTTGTTGATGACAGGTGAGTAATTCTACAGTTTAATATACAATTGAACAACTTTCCAAAAGTCATAATGTGCACTTACCCTCGGCATCGAATTTATCTATGCTCGCGCACAACATTCATTCTAAAAGGCTCAATAAATGTTTCATTACAACATTCATTCTAAAAGGCTCATAAATGTTTTATTATAACAGAACGAGTCTTGGCGCAGGGAAGAAACTGGCAGATAGCGAACTGGTTGGAATTCCAATCCGCATTATTTTAGGGAACGATATGTTGCAGATCTGGAGTGAAGACACCGATGCAATCAGCAGAAAATTGCAGAAGGGTTTGTCGCTCGAAGTGGTTATTGGAAGAGAAAAATGCAGTCTCACCTTGGAAGAATTGGAGATCAAACTAGGCGAATCCATGAGAGCATTGATCTAAGCTTGAATTCTCAACGTGATCATACAAGTGTTTTCCGAATGATGTGGTTCAATTGTGGGTAGTGCATCTAAAAATCATGAATTTAATAGACCACACATGGTCGTGAAACTAATTTTGAAAGAAAAAAGTGGGCGGGTAACACTATATCTTCAGTCGGACTTTTATCTATGTGAGTGTAAATGAACCGACTTTTCAACCTTGATGCGTTGACAAATGTACAACCTAAGAGTACATAGTATACTCACAACGCTAAATCAACTAAAAACTATGGTGAGTTCTTGTCACGAACTTTACGGACGTGAAAACTCTCAACAAGCGGTAATCACCTATATGGCAGGCATTAAATAGCACGAAGTATAACGTTCACACGTTTTCTTATTTGGGAGAAAATATCACTCCAGGCTAGAAGCGGTATAGTTGAAAATTATCATGTGTATATTACCGGGGTTCACCTCGCTGTTGCCAACTCGAGGCTGCCTGGGAACTCGACTTCTTTCTGAATCTCCAGTCTCTCGTTTGGTTCGCAATTAGGAGCACAAAGATGCAAGTAGTTCGAAAGGCTTACATTCTCAGACATCAGTTCTTATCGCCGGTACCCCATAAACAAATTGGGAAGATATTCGGATTAAGCATACAGCGTCAAGTTACAGATGGGTATTAGTTAGACCTATATACAGTCTTTACATTTTATTACAGTCAAATACGATCCAAGCCAGTGTGTGTATGGGTACTAGAGTTCGGTCGCAAAACGCAATTGTAAATCAATGCTCTCTGAGTCTGCACTGTGCGAACGAGATTAAAAATCGCATAGTGGGCTAACCCCCTTATTGGAAATCGCAAGTTGTCGGTTGCAGGAACCCGTAGGCCGTGGTAAGACACTTAAAATATTTGTTGTTCAAAACGGTAGCGCTACTATACAAAAAGAGAGAAGAACTGTTTAAATCATGCCCAATCTTCGATGGAATTCGAATCGACACAAGTCTGTCCGTAATCAACGATGTTGCAAAATCAATATTAGAGTCGAGCTGATAGTCGGTTTGACCGGCCACCTACTAGTAGCTAATTGACGCCAAAAAGTATAGTCTGTTGTCTATCTAATCATACTCCTCTGGTTAGAAAACAGCAGCTCGCACTGTACCCTACGTGTGAACAAGAATTTTCCGTCTAAGATTCATTGATTGCACACACACTATATATACCTATATAAATATGTACAAATAAATATTAGTATTCAAAAATCTATATCAAAATATATATATATATATATATATATGTATATATATACAC